TATATGTGGCTGGTGCCTTAGCCACTTGAGCCACAGGCACCGAGCCTACAATGAAAGATTTTATGTCAATTTAAAAGTATAGGGAGGATGCAGGCCTTCAAAATTCGTTTATAGGGTCCATGAGTAGGAAAACTTAAAGACCACTTTGCAGAAGTCTGTATGGGTTTTAAGATCTGGATGGATTCTAATTTATTAATCCATCCTGATCAATGTACAGATGAAAGACTAAGGGCTTTATTGGAAGGAATCTGATTGATTATCTAACCCATCTTGATCAATTTACAGAGGAAATTAATGTACTAGGGACCAGGGAGGGTTAGTTGATTTTCCCAAAGTCACACAGTTGGGCTTAGAACCTGAGTGTCTTTGCTTGCTCATTCTTTTCACTGCTTCCTCTGTGCTCAGAAATCCCACCACCAGTTTTGAAGAATGAGGAAGAAAAACACAAAGTGATCATAAATCGGTCACTGAATAACAGAGACTTCTCCTCGGGTAGGTTGCTTTCTAGCCGGCCACTTCAACCTCAGCAGTCAGGCTGGGAGGCCAGGGCTTGCATGGGGCAGTCCCTAGGCCCAGGGTAGTTGGTTTTGATTTATTCCTGACTAGGAGTTTCTTTTCCAGGGTCTCCTCTACCCCTTGTCACCTAAGAGTAAACCTCATCTTTAGGGATCTGAGGGTCCACCATGAGCCATCACTATCTTACAAAAGATGCCTCCCCTAGGAGACTTGAGTTTCATCTCTTAATCATCATAATAAATGAATAGTGCCCCTTCAGAGGTGATGACTTTTACAGTGCACAAGGTCCAGTTTACACAAAAGCCCTCTGTCAACCTAGCCCCTCATAGTCCCTTGGTCCAGATAGGAACTGGGGCAAAGCCAAGCCAGGGGACTACGGTGAAGTAGAAACTGCTTGCTATGCCTCACAAGGCCTGAGCTGGACAGAGTGCTATGCAAACACCTTGCCGCGCCCTGTAGTGGAGGGCTCTTGTGCTTAGAACCTCAGAAAGGTAAGATCACACTGATGATGAAATAGATGTAGCATTCTTCTTAACAACTTACAAGGTTTGGTTAGTTTTATCTTCATGACCTCTGGTTTCCCTGTGGAGCAAATACATGGTAGAGTTGGGGTGGGGGTAGGGGACTCTGGCTGACCAAAGACAGGCAGACCCAAGCAGGCAATGGGCAAGGACAGCCCTGAAGGGCAGGCCTGGCCCTGAAACATGAACAAGAAGATGGTTGGAGCCGAGGACACAAGGCTGACAGGAAAGGACACAGGCTGTTGTCAGGATACACACTACCACACACTTGAGGCCAGGACCCTGCTGACGCAGCAGCCCTCCACCCTGGCCCCTTACTGCCCTCCGCCCCTCTCCCCGGCCTGCCAGCTGCCAACAGGGCTCTGCCCTGTGTCTTCCACACCTGTCACTGCCTGTCCTTGTCCGGGGGGGCCCCATCAGCCCCTCCTCAGCTGCCCAACAGAGAAAGCAGTTAGTGGGGAGGGGAGGGAACATGGAGCGGGGGCCGGTGGTGGGGGCAGGGTTGGGAGCTGGAGCCCGAATCCGGGCATTGCTGGGCTGCCTGGTCAAGGTGCTGCTCTGGGTGGCCTCTGCTTTGCTATACTTCGGTAGTGAACAGGCTGCTCGCCTCCTGGGCAGCCCCTGCTTACGGCGCCTCTATCATGCCTGGTTGGCGGCAGTGGTCATCTTTGGGCCCCTTCTGCAGTTCCATGTCAACCCTCGGACTATCTTTGCCAGCCACGGGAACTTCTTCAACATGTGAGTCCCCTCAAAGCTGTGGGAGCCGGCTCCCTGCACTCTGGGATCCCACTCAGGGAAGCCTGGCTCCCTTCTCCAGGCTTCTGTCCTCCTGCCAGTCTGAACACTAAAAATAGGATGGGAGGTTGAGGACAAGGCTGGAGACAGGGGGAGGGGAATGGAGTCATGGGGCACAGGGGAAGTCAGGAGCAAGACTGAAGAGGAAATGTGGACCCTAGATGCTGAATGGTCCTCCAAGGAGATGGCAAAGTTTAAATGGCTGGGGGTTGCAAAGGGCACCCAAAAGGCAATCGATGATGTGTATGTAGGATTGGGGACAGAGCAAGGATGGGAGTACAGACCAGGGTGGGGAGACAGGGTTGGGGGTCTCAATAGCCTCCCCTCTTCTCTGCCTACAGAAAGTTTGTGAATTCAGCGTGGGGCTGGACCTGCACCTTCTTGGGAGGCTTCGTGTTGCTGGTGGTGTTCCTGGCTACACGGCGTGTGGCAGTGACCGCCAGGCACCTGAGCCGACTGGTGGTGGGGGCGGCCGTGTGGCGGGGGGCTGGCCGGGCCTTTCTGCTCATTGAAGACCTGACTGGCTCCTGCTTTGAGCCTCTGCCCCAGGGCCTGCTGCTCCACGAGTTGCCAGACCGCCGCAGCTGCCTGGCAGCCGGCCACCAGTGGCGAGGCTACACAGTCTCCTCCCATACCTTCCTCCTCACCTTCTGCTGCCTGCTGATGGCTGAGGAAGCAGCGGTGTTTGCCAAGTACCTGGCCCACGGGCTGCCTGCTGGGGCCCCTCTGCGCCTCGTCTTCCTGCTCAATGTGCTGCTGCTGGGCCTCTGGAATTTCTTGCTGCTCTGTACTGTCATCTATTTCCACCAGTACACTCACAAGGTGGTGGGCGCTGCAGTAGGCACCTTCGCCTGGTACCTCACCTATGGCAGCTGGTATCATCAGCCCTGGTCTCCAGGGAGCCCTGGCCATGGGCTCTTCTCCCGCCCCCACTCTAGCCACAAGCATAACTGAAAGAAATAAAAGCCTTCAGGCCTGCCTTTGGCTCCTCTCATCATTTGGTTGGGGCCTGGAAAGGGTAGAAAGAGAGTCTGGTAGTCACTAGGGCTCCTTAGCCATTCCTTGCTGTCATCAGTCTTGAATGTCCTTCCTTATCTTTGACCTCCATCCTTCCTGCTATCATTTTAACCTCTGTAAAGACTTTGAGCTGAGTCTGTGCCGTTGAAGAATGGCACTCCTAAGGCAGGTAACAGCACCCTTAGGTGTGGGCATTATTCTTACTGAGCAGGTACTCCATCTCCAGCCTGGGGGGTTTGTTTTTCCTGCCTTCCCCACTGAATCTTCAGCCCACCTTCCTCAGGTGACCACCTATCTGGGCACTCCACCCAGGGACCTTTCCTACTGTCTTCCCATAGAGTGTGTTCCCCATGGAGGCCTGTGTCATATTCATATGGCATATATTATAGTTCCATGCCACATGAATAACACGGATAAGAATTCTACTGTTTGGGGGCATATGAGCTAGCAGGAGAAGGCAGATAATAAACACACAAATAATAATAGCAAACACTTGAACTGTGTGTGTACCCTGTGCCAAGCACTGTTCTAAGTATCTGTAAGTTCTTTACATAAATTAACACATTTAGCATTGTGGTGGGCGCCTATAGTTCTAGCTACTCAGGAGGCTGAGGGAAGAGAATCGCCTAAGCCCAAGAGCTAGAGGTTGCTGTGAGCTGTGATGCCACGGCATTCTACCGAGGGTGACAAAGTAAGACTCTGTCTCTAAAAATAAATAAATAGATTAATTAATTAACACATTTAGTCTTCACAGTACCAGAACTATGAGGTAGTAGTGTTCCCATTGTACAGTTGCAAAAGCCAAAGCACAGAGGTTAAGTGATTTGCTCACAGCTAATAAACAAAGAAGATTACAAATCCAGGCAATATGGGTGTATTGTCCATGTTCTAAACCAGCGGTTCTCAACTTGTGGGTCAGGGTCAAATGACCCTTTCATAGGGGTCACCTAAGACCATCCTGCATATCAGATATTCACATTAGGATTCATACCAGTAGCAAAATTACAGTTATGAAGTAGCAACAAAAATAATTTTTTTTTTGAGACAGAGCCTCAAGCTATCCCCCTGGGTAGAGTGCCGTGGCATTACAGCTCACAGCAACCTCCAACTCCTGGGCTCAAGCGAGTTTCCTGCCTCCACCTCCCAAGTAGCTGGGACCACAGGCGCCCGCCACAACACCCAGCTATTTTTTGGTTGCAGCCGTCATTGTTGTTTGGCGGGTCCGGGCTGGGGATTTGAACCCGCCACCTTAGGTGTACGTGGCTGGCGCCTTAGCTGGTTGAGCTATAGGCATCGAGCCAACAAAAATAATTTTATGGTTGGGGTTCACCACAGCATGAGGAACTGTATAAAGGGTGGCAGGATTAGGAAGGTTGAGAACCACTGTCTAAAGGATAAGCAAACTAAGGCTCTCTGGTGGCCAGTTTCTGTATTGCCTTCAAACTAAGAAGGGTGATTACGCTTTTCTTTTTCCTTTTTCTTTTTTTAAAATCTTTCCCTTACTGATACATTGTTATATGATTGAAAAAAAATCAAAGAAGGATATTTCATGACACATGAAAATTATGCGAAATTCAAATTCCAGTGTCTATAAATGAGGTTTTATTGGAACTCAGCCAATTAATTTACATATGGCTACTTTCTGCTACAATGGCAGAGTTGAGTAGTTGATATAGACATTGTAAGGATCCACAAGCCTTAAATATTTACTATCTAGTCCTTTACAGCAAAGTTTCCCAAAATCTATTTTAGATCAGTACACAATCCTGTTTCAAAAACAAAACAAAAAATAGCTAGTATCAGATATTTAAAAGTGCCATGAAAGTAGTAAGACAGCGTGATTTGTAATAGAGAGACTTGGAAGAAGTTACTTTATAAAGAATGATCCAGGGCCGGAAGTGGTGGCTGATGCCTGTAATCCTAGCACTCTGGGAGACTGAGGTGGGTGGACAGCCTGAGCTCAGGAGTTTGAGACCAGCCTGAGCAAGAGTGAGAGACTTCGTCTCTAAAAAATAGCCAGGTGTTGTGGCCAGGGCTTGTAATCCCAGCTACTAGGGAGGCTGAGGCAAGAGGATCTCTTGTGCCCAAGAATTTGAGGTTACTGTGAGCTATGACACCAAGGTACTCTAATGAGGGAGATAAAGTGAGACTCTGTCTCAAAGAAAAAAAAATGATGGAGACAGTTCTCTCTGAAGAGGTGACCTTTGAGCTGAAAACCTAGTAACTCCACTCAGGAAGGGCGTTAAGACAAATCGATTAGCAGAGCAAAGACGCCCGAGGCAGGAATGAACCTCACGCCTTTGAGAAATAAATGAAAGCTCAAGTTTTTGCGAGTGTAATGAAAGAGATGGGATGCAGTAGGAAGTGAACTTACAGGGGAGACAGATGCCAGGCAGGCCCAGAAGAAAAAACCCTTGAATTTCATTATAAGGATAACAGAAAACTGAGAAAGGGTTTTAAGGAAGAGAGAAGCATAAGCATGAACCCCCTACTCCGTGAGAGCGGATTAAATAATAGGAGAATGGAGTCCGCAGCAGGGGTCCAGGAGACAGCTGACTGGGGCTCGGACGGGATGATGCCAGCTCTGAGGGTTGCTGCAGGGGCCAGAGGACGCCCATGGAGCCAAGGAGCCCATGCTAGTACAGCTAGGAAAGAGGCCAGCTCTCGACCATCGCTGACCAAAGACGGGAAAAGCCCCAAGTAAGGTTTATCACTATCCCAAGAAGAGCAGGCAAAGAAGAGAACCAGTGGGGAGGCAGTGGGGAGCTAGGAGGCGGGGAGGCGGGAGGTGGAAGGTGGAGCCTGCAGAGATGGGCGTGGGCGGTGAGATCCCAGCGCAGGGAGGCGGGGGAGAGGGGGACGGGGCGGGGCGGAGGCAATAAGCGGAGTCCAGAGCCGGGCTGAGGAGTGCAGGCTGGGGGCGGGTTCAGGGGGCGGGGGCTAGAGCAAACGCGCTTCTCCGGCTCCCTGGGGCAGTGGCTCAGCTCCACCCCCGCTAGTGGACTCCGCCTCCTCCAGTCCTCCACTCTCGGCTCCCCAGGAAGGCGGTGCGGGCTGAGAACTCTGCTTTCGCTTTCCCTTCCCCGTGCCCACTCTTCGCTCCTCGCGCGGCTCTAGGACCCTTGCCCCGGCCATGGCCATGCTCAGGGTCCAGCCTGAGGCCCAAGCCAAGGTGAGCGCTGAGGGTTCTAGGCAGGGCCCAGGAGAGGCGTGGCTCGGAGAAACTGAGGGGCTCCCTGACCCGCCCCCAGACCCTGACCTGAGCGGGTGGTCAGTCCAGTCAGCCCAGCCTGCGTGCTGGGAGCACCTGCTCCTCGGGAGACCGACTGGGGCTCCCTTTACGGAAAGGCGCGGCGGCCGTGGTTCAGCGGGGTGAGGTGAAGCGAAGAGCTGGCGTGGAGGGGAAGTCCGTTGGCCCGGGGCTGGGCCACACACAGACCTGGTGTGGGACCTGCCCCTGCCACCTCGTGGCCTTTCCCTCAGGAGGCTCCCGGGGTCCTTTCCGTCCCTGCCCGACTCGCAGAGGGTTGTCCGTCCACATCTCTCCTCACACAGCCCAGGAGACCCCAGGAATCCGTTCTCACATGAGCCTCTGGCCCTTCAAGGCTGGGAATGTATTCGTCCCCCAAATCCCGCCCCAGGAGCATCCACTCCTCCTTCGCCAGATGGAGGCTGCAGAGATCCACTGTAACACCTCCCCAACCCACCCGCACAAGGATCCCTCTTAACTTTCTTTAGGCCTGACCTTAGGGGGATCTATTCCACCCTTTCCCCCAGGCCAGGCCCAACACAACCCTAAGGGAACTGTCCTCAAATGAACTGACCTTAAAGCCAGGTTTCTGAAGTATTGCCTGTGCCCTACAGGTGGATGTGTTTCGTGAAGACCTTTGTACCAAGGTAAGACCTGCCCGTCAGTACCCACACCCCCACCCAACTCTTAATGCTCAGCCCTGCCTCACTGCCTAGGAAGGGTGTTTGGTTCTGACCCCATCTTCCTCCACCTCCACCTCACACAGACAGAGAACCTCCTTGGGAGTTATTTCCCCAAGAAGATTTCTGATTTGGATGCATTTTTAAAGGTACTGGGGCTGGGCAGGGAGTTGGAGAGTTTGGGGGGCCTTAAGAATGAGGAGGTGGGCTCGGCGCCTGTGGCTTAAGCGGCTAAGGTGCCAGCCACATACACCTAAGGTGGCGGGTTTGAATCCCTAGCCCGGGCCCGCCAAACAACAATGATGGCTGCAACCAAAAAATGGCCAGGCGTTGTGGCGGGCGCCTGTAGTCCCAGCTACTTGGGAGGCTGAGGCAGGAGACTCACTTGAGCCCAGGAGTTGGAGGTTGCTGTGAGCGTGATGCCATGGCACTCTACCCAGGGGGATAGCTTGAGGCTCTGTCTCAAAAAAAAAAATAAAAAAGAATGAGGAGTTGAGAGGAACACCCTCAGCTTCTGTCCTCTTCCCACCCTACACTAGGAGCCAGCTCTCAATGAAGCCAACTTAAGCAATCTGAAGGCCCCATTAGACATCCCAGTGCCTGATCCAGTTAAGGAGAAAGAGAAGGAAGAGCGGAAAAAACAGCAGGAGGCAAGCAGGGAAGACCTGGGAGGAGGGATCCAACCATGGGGAAAATAAATCAACCTTAGTCCTGATGCCCAATGAGTCCTTCTCTCCCTGTAGAAGGAAGACAAAGATGAAAAGAAGAAAGGGGAAGATGAAGACAAAGGTACTTGAAACCACTATGGTGGGAAAACTTCAGTCCCACCCCACAGAAGCTCCTCTCTAGGGAGTCCTTTCTACTCTCCCCTTCTGCACTTCTCACACAGGCTCAATCATGTGATTGGCCTACTCTCTAGGTCCTCCCTGTGGCCCAGTGAACTGCAATGAAAAGATTGTGGTCCTCCTGCAGCGCTTGAAGCCTGAGATCAAGGATGTCATTGAGCAGCTCAACTTGGTGAGGCCTCCCACCCAAATCCTCAGGTTTTAGGTCAAATTCTTTGTCTCTGCTAGTTAGAGTATAACACTTGCCAGGTCTTAGCAAGAGAAAACATAGCAAGTGGAACCAGGAGTCTAGGCCCTGGGGCTCGGGATGGACCTGGCATACCTCTACCTATTGTGGGCAGGGAAGCAACGGAGGATAGAAACCTGGGAATTGGGTGGAGAGTTGATATGGCTTTGATGCCATTCCCTCCCCCCAGGTCACTACCTGGTTGCAGCTACAGATACCTCGGATTGAGGATGGGAACAATTTTGGAGTGGCTGTCCAGGTGAGACCACACTCTACTCCCCTGCCTTCCTTTCTAGTCCATGTTTCCTTCTACTTTCCCCCTTGCCTTCTTTCCCCAGGAGAAGGTGTTTGAACTTATGACCAGCCTCCACACCAAGCTAGAAGGCTTCCACACTCAAATCTCTAAGTGAGTACTGCTTAACTCACTTGCACACTCTGGTTCCCTCCTTCTTCACCCACTCCATATACACTTCTATTTCCCATAGGTATTTCTCTGAGCGAGGTGATGCAGTGGCCAAAGCAGCCAAGCAGCCCCATGTGGTAGGTGAGACCCAGGTTAGGGTGCATGGGGAAAGGACACATGTGAAGTCACGCCTGACCCAAGTGTCCCACAGGGTGATTATCGGCAGCTGGTACATGAGCTAGATGAGGCAGAGTACCGGGACATCCGGCTGATGGTCATGGAGATCCGCAATGCTTATGTGAGGAGACATGGGCCGGGGTGGGCAGAGGCAGCTTTCCCAGGCCACCCATTCCTTGACACTGCAGGTTGAGGGTGAAGGGTGACAAAGCTCAATCTTCTCCACAAGGCTAGATATGGGGCTCAGAGCCACTGGGGCCATGAGGCTGACCCCTACTCCTCCCTGGTCTTATAGGCTGTGTTATATGACATCATCCTGAAGAACTTTGAGAAGCTCAAGAAGCCCAGGGGAGAAACAAAGGGAATGATCTATTGAGAGCCCCCTCTAATTCTGTGATGGGTACAGCATAGACCTTCTTATTTTTTGCCAGGGACTCCAGATTTTCCCCTACCTTTCTCTTATGGAGGTTTTTCCCTCACCTTGCCTCCCAAGCATAATAAATATAGTCACACTGTGGCCTGTCAGCCGAAGTCTCTTTATTGGATCCTGACACCTCTAACTCTGGCTCAGGCATTTCCATTGGTTGGACCAACCCACTGGGTGATTTGGGTGTTGAGCTGTTGGTTGGTCCAGTCCTGTCGGATGTCATCAAGGTGACAGTCAAAGTCCACAAGATGCTGGTATGCCTGGCCCTCCAGTAGTGCTCCCACCATCTGTCGGGACTCCTCCCAGTCCCTCCACATCACTCTGAAATAGTAGCCCCCATGGAGGTCAAACAATAGGCCATAGGTACAGACTTATATTAACAGAAGTTGGGTCTGGAGAAGGACCCTTGGGGCAAAAGCAAGGGCAGAGGAGGCCCAAGAGTCTTGGGCTTCAAGAAGAGGTGGAAGGAAGGGCGTACTCACAAATTCTTATCCTTGGGGACCCAGCAGAGACTTTGGTTCTCCAGCACAATGACTGGAGGCACACGAGGCTGAGGCACCAGTTTCTGATTATCCAACTGGGTAGACAAAGAAGGGTAGGTGAAAATCTCAAGGATCCCCCTCCCTACTTATTCTCCACCTCCCCACCTTCAAACCCAAGCCTCACCATAATAAGTACTGCATCAGGGAAGAATTCTGCAATTCGTCCAGCGATTTTCAAGGCCAAGGGCCCAGGGCTGTGTAGAAGAAGATCAGAGGAGTGAGGAGCCGACTGGATAAAACCCGTCCATCTGAGCTGGGTCTCCCAGGTCTCATAGATGTGGGTGCAGCTGTGGCCTTTCCCTGTAGCTGGCCTGGGGGATTGCGCCTGCTGGACGCTTGATGTACGACTGCTTGATGCTTGAGTGTTGTGGGAAACAGATGCTCAGGCACTGCTGGTAAGAGTGGAAATGAAAGGTGGTCTTTTTGGAGGGCAATTTGGCATAACCATCCAAATTGAAGGTATACTACCTATTTGCTGAGTCAGAAATTTCACTTACAAAGAATTTACTGTAACAGGACCATATCCATAATAAAAAGTTGGAAATCATCTCAATATTTAATGTAGGCATTAAACAACTTATGGTACACATCTATATTCAAACGCTATTTTATGGAAGGCAGCTTTTGGTGTGGAAATGGAAAGATGTTAAATATTTATTAACTGAGGAGCAAATTACAAAACTATTTCTAACTTAATTCATATATAAGGTTAATACACAGAAGTATCTTTCTACATATAAAATTTATGTACATAACACATACACATAAATATGCATAAAGAAATTTCCATATTTAAAAAATTGCAGGTTAGGCCGGGCACAGTGGCTCATGCCTGTAATCCTAGCACTCTGGGAGGCCAAGGCAGGTGGATTGCCTGAGCTCACAGGTTCAAGAACAGCCTGAGCAAGAGCAAGACCCCATCTCTAAAAATAGCCAGGCATTGTGGCAAGAATTGAAGCAAGAGAATCACTTGAGCCTAAGAGTTTGAGGCTGCTATGAGCTATGACGCAACCGCACTCTATCCAGGGTGACAAAGTGAAACTCTGTCTCAAAACAAAAAAGATAAAATTGCTGGTTGGGCTCTCTGTGTTCTTACAGCACTTGGGGGACACTTCAATTAAAGCAAGATTCACCTGTCCTTGATACACAGTTGTCCTCCCCACCCCCACCGCAGCTTCCAGAGCAGAGCTCTGTTTTATTAATCTTTGTTTTTCCTCACTCCAGTACCCAGCATAGTGCCTGACGGACACCCTCTACTCCTAGGAGTTTGAGGAGCAAAGATGAAAGGAATGACCTTGGTTCTTTTGCGTGCCTCCCCTCTTCCACTTCCACCTACGACATAATCCTTTGCCTTCTGCCTCTGGCTACCCCACTCACCTTTGGTCGTCCAGAGCTGCATTGGCATGGTAGTACCCAGCCACCACCAGACCGGCCTGTGTGCCCCACACATCCACCTGTCGTGGGAAAGGGGCTGTCAGTAACTAAATCAAGCTGTTGGCCTTGTGGGTGCGCACTGCTGCCAAGGGGCTGGGGATGGACTTTGGGCTAGAGGTGTTAAGGGGATCGGGAGTGGGCGTCTATCGGAGGCACCTGGTTGAGGGCGACCTCCAACATGACGGACAGGGCCAGGTGACTGTGGAAGAGGGGCACACAATCGGTGAGGCACAGGCATTCTCTGGACCGCGGCGCCGGCGCCAGCAACAGCCCGTTGACCGCCGCGTGTGGGTATCGGGCGGCGTGCAGGCACATCTTCACGTAGGCCCGGGCAGAGATCTCCACTTCCCCCATGGCGAGGCGGGGCCTGCCTGGGAAGGAGCAAGCCCGATTAGTGCCGGTTCCCCACCCCGCTCAGGCGAGCAGGTCCCGGCTGGCGCTACGAAGCTCCCTCCAGCTCTGCGGCGCCCTCCTTGGCCCTTCCCGGTGCCGCCTCAGGTTCGGCGGCGACGCTTACTTGGTCCAAAGGCGACTTGCCGGCTCCAGGAGACCAAGGTCCCAGAGCCCTCCCCAGGCCCAGCCCAGTAGGAAGTTCCGATTGCAGCCCCCGGTACCGAGCCCCGCCTACCCCCGCCCCAAGTCGGGCAGCCGCAGATCCACGCTGTCAGGGGCACCCAGAGCCGGCTGCCGGCAGCAGGACGTCTCCTGGAGTCCCGCCTACGTAGTGCTCCTAGATAGGTCTAAAGGTTCTCATTTTCCCCCATCAGCGGCCACATCCAACGCTTGCCCCTCCTTTGTCTCCCACGAATTGGAAAGAACCTACACCTGCAAGGGGAAAAAAATGCCCGCTCTCTTATTTGGCTAGGCTACCTCACTTTCTTTTTTATTTTTATTTCATTTTATAATTCTTTTTTTGAGACAGAATCTCACTATGTCGCCTTGGTAGAGTGCTGTGGAGTCACAGCTCACAGTAACCTCCAACTCAGGCTTACGCAATTCTCTTCCCTCAGCTTCCCAAGTAGCTGGAACTATAGGCGCCCTCCACAAGGCCCGGCTACCCGGCTATTTTTTTGTTGCAGTTTGGCTGAGGCCGGGTTTGAACCCTCCACCCTCGGTATATATGGGGCTGGCGCCCTATTGACTGAACTACAGGCGCCGCCCTTCCCGTTTTTATTCTTGATTGAGAGTTGACTTTGCCTATTCCTGTGTGGCCCACCACCAGAGGCCCTGTAGAGCGCTAAGCAGGGAGCTCTCCCAGCATTTTGGCAGTCTAGTGTCCTGAAGCACTGGGGACAGGGGACAAAGCAGACTGCCTTGTCCTTTTTATGAAATGAATGGTTGTTTTTTTTTTTTTTTTTTTTTTAGAGACAGAGTCTCACTATGTAGCCCTCGATAGAGTCCTGTGGTATCACGTATCACAGCTCACAGCAACCTCAAACTCTTGGGCTTAAGCGATTCTCTTGTCTCAGCCTCCCAAATAGCTGGGACTACAGGCGCCCTCCAGAACGCCCAGCTATTTTTTTGTTGGTAGTTGTCATTGTTTATGCTGGCCGGGGGCGGGTTCAAACCTCCCAGCCTTAGTGCATGTGGCCGGTGCCTTAACCACTGGGCTACTGGCTCCAAGCTATGAGTGAATCTTTAGATTTCTCTCCTCTGTCATGAGCAGTGCTGCCTTTGAGGCTGTAAGTTATCTGACCCTTGATTTCTTTAATTTAGTATCTGATACCCATGGTACTTTAACAATTAAATCAAGTATGTATGGGGACAGGCATCCAAACTGTTAAGTGCCATGCAGCAAATCCTTCTTCTTCATTTCTTTTTCCATGTCAACAGGGGCAAAAATTCTTATCTCATATTTAAACAGGATAAGGCCCTTAATCAAAGAACATTCACATGGAGTTTATATATAGCAAAGACCACAGGGGAGAAACCCTTGTCTCTATCACCTGCCCTGGCCTGTATCCTGAAAGGCAAGAGATAAAGAAGGCGAGTGACTGGACAGGGCGGGAGGGAGAACAAAAAATAAACAAAAACCTTACAGATTCATCCTTCCTACAGTGTCCTATGGTGTATTTTCTTCACCACAACGCCTTTGGTGCATTTACCCTACCATCTAGCCCTCGAAAAGGAGTCAAACCATTCATCCATAATCCTCCTAGTGAAACCTCATTCTCCTGGTAAGTGTGCTGAGGGAGTGTTCCCCACCAGCTAAAGCCTGATTACTCCTGAAGAGGACTCCAGAGTCCTCCATAAGGACTCTGCCAAAATAGCACCTCTTGTGAAGAACTCAGGAGATCACCAATAAAAGTAATCTTGTGAAATTCCAAAATACTGATTATCTACATGGCTGTCATGGCATGTAACAATTCCTACCCTTAAGTTAGTTGGACCTCTTAAGACCAGGATGGGCATCTGATTTATCTTTGTCTTCCTGGCACACCCATCCCTCCTCACCACCATATTCACCTTCAGCGTCTGGACAAAGGTAGCACTTAGTAAATGCTTTTTGAATGAATAGCAAGCACCAGAAGTAATACGCACAAAGTATAGGTCATTTATTTTCCTTCTAGCCCTGGGTTCAGTACATAGATGGCTTCTCTTCGCCTTTTGGATTGATAATTTTCTCCAGGTTGCTGATGATGATATGATAGAGCTCAGCCTGGAAAAAGGCCAGAGAGCAAAAGTCAGGTTATGGCCTCTCCCTCTCAATCCACCTCCCTTAAGGGCTTACTGCATACTCACATAGAAGGCCCTCAGGCCCAGCACCATGGCCCTAAGCTCCCCATACACTGCCTCATCTCGCTCGTGCACCAAGGCTCGGTAATCCATCTGGGATATGGGAGACAAGCTGAATAAGGCCCAAACCAGCCTTATATAGTCTGGTTAGGAGGTAGGTTAACTTGAGGATAAGCCCCTTCTCAGCACCAAGGAATGAGATCCCAAATAACTGAGCAGGGAAAGGGATCAAGGTTGTAAAACCCCAAATCACTTTTTCTAGGTAACAATTTTGGCTTCATAATCTCCACATTGGAAAGTCTTACAAAATAAAGAAAACTTTTTCCCTCCCACTCATCCCACCTCTAGGCAAAAGGCTGGTGTGCTATCCACTTACTACATGGGTCTCCTTGGAGGCCTTAGCCACAGCATCCCCACGTTCTGAGAAGTACCTGCCAGAAGCAAGGGGAATAACAAAGGAATGAGTGTTCAGGGAGATGTATTCCCTCAAATCCTTCATACAGAGAAATAGCTCTTACAGCCAGCCCCCCATGTTAGTTCTCTAGTTGCCCTCACTTGGAAATGGTTGTCTGGAAGGCTTCCACTTTGGTCTTAACTGCATTCACCCTCTCCAGCACCTTCTCCTGCAGTGGAATGAGCAGCAAAGAAAATAATTCATTTCCTCCCTCTTTCACTCATTATCTCTCTTTCCTCCTAGCTCCTATCTCTTACTCCCCAATCTCTCTCCATTCTCAGTATCCTCAGTCATCCCTCCCTTTTCTTTCTTTTTTTTTTGTTAAGAGACAGAGTCTAGCTCTGTCCCCCAGGTTGGAGTGCAGTGGCACAGCTTTGAACTCCTGGAATCAGTGATCCTCTTGCTTAAGGACCTATAGGCGTGTGCCACCATGCCTGGCTAATTTTTTTTTTTTTTAAATTAAGACAGTTTCACTTTGTCACCCTCAGTAGACTGCCGTGGTGTCATAGTTCACAGCAACCTCAAACTCTTAAGCTCAAGCAATTATCTTGCCTCAGATTCCTGATTAGCTGGGACTACAGGTGCCTGCTGCAATGCCTGGCTACGTGTGTGTGTGTGTGTGTGTTTAGCAGGCCTGGGGCAGGTTTGAACCCACCAGCCCCAGAGCATGTGGTTAGTGCCCTAACCATAAGCTACAGGTGCCCAACCCATGCCTGGCTAATTAAAAACAGTTTTTTTGTAGAGATGGGGTTTAATTAGGTTGCAAAGGCTGGTCTCAAACTTCTGGCCTCAGGCTCGGCGCCTGTGGCTCAAGCGGCTAAGGCGCCAGCCACATATACCTGAGCTGGCGAGTTCGAATCCAGCCCGGGCCTGCCAACAACAACGATGGCTACAACCAAAAAATAGCCGGGTGTTGTGGCGGGGGCCTGTAATCCCAGCTACTTGGGAGGTAGAGGCAGGAGACTCGCTTGAGCCCAGGAGTTGGAGGTTGCTGTGACCTGTGATGCCACAGCACTCTACCCAGGGGGACAGCTTGAGGCTCTGTCTCAAAAAAAAAACAAAAAAACAAAACTTCCGGCAATCCTCCTGCCTTGTCTTCTCTAAGCATGGGGATTATAGGTGTGAGCAACCACACCTGGCATCAGTCATCCTTTTCTTACCTGGATTGCTACCCCAAAATCATTTCCATCCTCAATCTTAGGGATCAGGTGCTGGATCCATGTGATCACCTATATTAAGAGGTATCTCATAAGATCATTCAACAAACCTACTGGGTTCTTATTACTGCTACTTCCTAACAACAGCTATATTTCACTGAATACCTATTATGTACCTGGCACTGTGCTATGTATGATTTATCTCAATTATCATAGTAACATTCCTTAATATATATTCTTATTGTACCTATTTAACAGATGAAAAAACTGAGTCATAGACCATCTAAGTGACTTAAAGTAGGTTACTATCTGTGTAAGTGACAGAATCAGGATATTATCACTTACCTAGCAGTCTTTTCTAGGTTCCATGCTTTTAAACCAACTCACTATTTCTTATCTCCTCTACTATGTATCTTTATAGCAGTAGGGTCTGAAGTTATAGAGGTGGATACAGTATAGTCTCTCTGATTTAAGGAGTACCATTGTGATACCAGAGTTTTAACAGAATGATGAGAACAAAAAAGATCTAAACCCAAAGCACAGAAGAAAGTTTTCTTTTTCAGGAGTAGGCTCTGAATAAAGGATTTGTATCTCTGAAGGAGACCAGGACCCTGCTTGTTTGTCTTTTCTTTCCACTTCCCCCAGTTTCCAGCCTTACCAGAATGCACTTCTCTTTGAGAGTCCAGACTTCTGGCTTAACCAGGGCAAGCAGGGACAAGACTTTCTCATTCCCAGGGAGAAATCCACACTTAGGGACTGTCAAAAAGAGGGGATTCAGGCCCTTTCTCATCCAGCAGTTAATGTGTCATTTCCCCTTCCCTAGTCACCCCTTTCTTCCTTACCTTCTTTCTTCTCCTGCTTATCTGTTTCCATCTAAGACAAAGAGGGAAAAGGAACTTTAGAAAAGCTGTAGAGGTTGAAGGGTCATCATCCCCATTGGATTTATAATCCAAGCCCTGCCCCCCTCCCCAGTACCTCACCTCATCATCCTTGGGTGGAGGGTCTGGGATGGGGATATCCAGTGGAGCCCGGAGAGAGGTCAGGTCAGCCACATTGAAGGAGTCATCCTGCACAGAGCTCACTGTCAAGGGCTTCCCGGCCTCTTCCCTTTACCCTGAGTCATAGCCTTCCCTCCACATCCCTGACCTCTGCCTCCCAACATGGGCCCAGGCCTCACACCATCCTAATGTTCCCAATCCACCATTTACAACTGTTCTCCATATGCTGAGCTCTGCTGTTAGTCAGAGAGGGTGAGTGAGAGGGAGAGAGGACATGGGATGGAGCAGGAGGAGCACACACTACTCACTTGCAAGAGCTGGTTCAGGTATATGATTTTCTGTGGCAAGAATCTGTAGAGGAACTCCTCAGCCTGGGGGATAGATTGCAAGGGTGGAGAATCACAGAAGATATTCAGGGAGATGTCTGAGAAGTGGCACTGGCAGGGCCCTTGTAAATCATGGAGTCCAAACTTACAGACGAGAAGACTGAAGCCCTGAATATGAAGGGACTTGCCTAAGCTGGTAAGTGGCAGAACAAAGGTTAGGACTGTGATATTCCTACTTTAAGGGCCATGGCTTTTCCCTCCTCATCAAAAGAGGGGAGGAGAAAACCAAAAGGGGAGGGATTCCAAAGAGGCGCCATTTAAAGGTAGATCAATAATTAGGAGCTCACTTTGGGTAAAGGCTTGTTAAGGGAAACAGGGCCAAAGTGTATGGTAGGTTTGGAGATTGTGACCCTCAAGTACTGGCCTACGATTCTGGATCAAATCACCTGAATCCACAGAGTCTTACCTCCTGGAAAAGATTTTGCCTGAAGACATCCACCTACACAGAGAGCAGTACCCGGATGTTGGTTAAGGGTTTGAGTTGTCAAGAGTAAGATCCCATGCCAACCGGGTGCCCTCCAACTGTGGCTCAAGCCTTTCCTTCATTAGTCAGTCTTCCCCCAAAGCTCCTACCCAGTGTAGAGACTGGTTAGAGTGCAGCAATCTGGGAATCCCCAGGCTGAAGTGAAAGCACTAAGGAGCAGTTGGGGGAGTTTTCTAGCACAGTCTTTGTCCCCTACCCCACCCCGAAAAGGATCCAGCTTGGCCTCCATCCAGGAGGGTTTCCCAGACCTTTCCTGGCCTCCAGTTCCCTGTTACCTTCTTGAGGGCCTCCCCACTCAGGCGCACTCCACAAGATTTGGCCATGCTGCTTCAGTTGCTAGATCGGTCTCCGGCTATCCGCCCAGGCTTTCGCTTTCACTCCCCAGGTCCAGGCCCGCCCCCCTCAACCCCGCCCCCTTTCTTCTTCCTTCCTCCCCCCTCCTCTTCCTAGCAGGCTGCAAATAGAAGGTAGCCCCTCAGCCATTCCCAGCCCATGGACTGTCAGAGGGAGGGGCTAGGATGAGTGGGACAACTTGGACTGGAACCCGGGCTGTCCCTCGGCGAGGGGGCGGGGCTTGCAGCGAGGACCGAGGGGAAGTCCAGGGTTGGAGTGAGAGGGGTAGAATGGGAAAAGGGACATCACTTAGTGGGGCTCCCCCGAGAAAGCTGGACAGCGAAGAGGGGACAAAGAGTGATCAGAGTGAGTGAGAGAGGTAGTAAGGGGAGCCCCTGGAGGGAAGAAAGGCTTAGCGTGAAGTGGAAGGGAACTGGCGGGGAGGCTTTCCTCTGCCTCCGGGACAGACTGAGAAGGGGGCAGGACTAGCTTGACTGGGCGGAGGGATGGCCAGAGTCAGTTCCCTGGCAGGGTGAGACTTTCCCGATGAGGATCGGAGCATGGCAGACTGGTCCCGAAAGAGAAAGGAGGGCTTTGAGCCGGAGAGGTTCACGCCGCGCCTGGGGCTATCCGGAAGTGGCGGAGGAAGGCTTGGAAAAGCGCTATTTATATTTTTTAACTGGGGTGAGTTCCGGGAAGAGCTTCAGCACCAAGGGGAAACACTGGGACACGCTGAGGGAGGAGCCAGGGGCCATTTACTTCCTCATTGGTTGGGACCGCCTTCTTGGCCACGCCCCTAGCTTTCGGACACCCTCCCTTTCTTAACCTTAAGCCCCTCCCGTTCCTCTGAAACCGAGTCGCAGTCCCTCCCTCTTTCCTGGTACTTCCTGTTCCCGGCTAACCCTGGTGCTGGGCTGGGGGCTGAAGAGTGACGGTGGCCAGAGTAAATTGCGGCGTCTGCGCGTTCCCTGTGAGGCCTTAAAGCCAGGCACTAGGCAGGAGGGCCGCGTGCAGCCTTCACTGGGTACTGGCGGGCGGCAAGGCGGGGGCTGACTCCTGAGGATGCCGGGGGAGGAAGAGCGGGCCTTCCTGGCAGCTCGCGAAGAGCTGGCGAGCGCCCTGAGGAGGGATTCCGGGCAGGCTTTTTCCCTGGAGCAGCTCCGGCCGCTACTGGCCACCTCCCTGCCGCCAGCCGCCCGCTACCTGCAGCTGGACGCCTCACGCCTGGTCCGCTGCAACGCCCATGGGGAGGTGAGGCCCGGCCCTGCTTGGAAAGGGGACATAGGGCCTTATGCCCAGGCCAAGTTCACAAATCTCTGCTCTCTGACTGCTCCCAGCCCCGAAACTACCTCAGCACCCTGTCCACTGCCCTGAACATCTTGGAGAAATACGGCCGCAACCTCCTCAGCCCTCAGCGGCCCCGGTACTGGCGCGGGGTTAAGTTTAATAATCCTGTCTTTCGCAGCACAGTGGATGCCGTGCAGGTGAAACCCCTGAGCCTTATGGGAAAGGGTGGGCTAGGAATGGCCTCAGGCTGTGCTGAATGGGAAGGGGACCGTCCCACCTTCCGCACTGCTGGGCGGTGATTGGTTGTGAATTTATGGTAGGGGGGCCGGGATGTATTAAGATTGTACGGCTACACGGAGGAGCAGCCAGATGGATTGAGCTTTCCCGAAGGGCAAGAGGAGCCAGATGAGCACCAGGTTGCTACAGTCACACTGGAAGTATTGCTGCTTCGGACAGAACTCAGCCTGTTATTGCAGGTGAGATGTTCCTTAGTCCTGATGACTTACAGACCAGGGTTGGGGAGAGGACCCCCATGCTGCTGAATAATGAGCATTCTGGGAATTCTTAGTACTGTTCTATTTCTCTGTGAATGTTAAGGTGCAAGGGTTTAGAGGGAAAGCCTTGTTCTAGGGCTCTAGGTGGAAACCCTTTTTATCTATTTTGCAGAATACTCATCCAAGACAGCATGCACTGGAACAGCTGCTGGAAGACAAAGTAGAAGATGATGTAAGGAAGGCAGGAAAGGAGCTGATGAACAAAGGGAACAGGAATCGTTGGATTCTGTGGCCCCCTATCCTTACCCTGCTCTTTCCCCCACAGATGCTACAGCTTTCAGAGTTTGAACCCCTACTGAAAGAGATTGCCCCTGGCCCCCTCACCACACCCTCTGTCCCAGGTATTATTGGTCCTACTTGGGGGAGGGTGAGAAGTAGTAGACTATATTGATGGAAATTTGGGAGCGTCCTCTGTTCTCTTGGTTGTCTTACTTTGTTTTTTAAAAGAGATTAAAATTGTTTTCTTAGGTTCCCACATTTTCAAAAGTAGTCTTGTGATTTGTCTCCATCCATAGCAGATTTAGGTGTAACCTGGTCTTTTTAGAAAAATGTTTTGTTCTTTCCTGTCTTCCAGGCTCTACTCCTGGTCCCTGCTTCCTCTGTGGTTCTGCCCCAGGCACACTGCACTGTCCATCCTGTAAACAGGCCTTGTGCCCAGCCTGTGACCACTTGTTCCATGGACATCCATCCCGTGCTCATCACCTCCGCCAGACCTTGCCTGGAACCCTAGTCCATTCCACCCACCGGAACTCCAGGTGAGATATCTTCTCTTCTGGGTGAGAATGAAATTTAGATACTTTAAGGTCACTTGATTATCTACTGTGTGCTAAGTTCTATGCTAAAGACTATTTAATAGAAGACAAGCAGCCAGTCACAGTCCTTAAGGAGGTAGTAGACATAAATACATCAAACAGGTAGCAGTCACAATAAGATAGATTATTGGTGTGCAAATAGGTAGTAGGTAGATGCAACCTAGTCTGAAGAATCAGCTCAGTTAGTTGGCAGAAGTTTCAGTACCAAGTATGGGTCAGGCCCTATACATGTATTAGGGATATATACCCAGAAGAAGTGAGTGTTAAGTTTTCATTTAAATGTTGCACAGGCTATGGGTATGAGAGTGTTTGAGACAAAGACAATAAGATGTGCAAGGGTCAGTGCCATGTGCCGGTACACAGGAAATGAGGAATGCCCAGAGGTGAGGGACCCAGGCACCAGGTCCACTCAGCAGGCCATATCTGCTTTTCTATTACAGTTTACCTGCCTCAGCCCAACCACGGCCCCAGCCAACCTCCCTGCTGGCCCTGGGAGATAGCTCTCTTTCTTCCCCTGATCCTGCAAGTGCTCGTTTGCCCTGGCATTGTGCTGCCTGTGCCATGCTAAATGAACCTTGGGCAGTACTTTGTGTGGCCTGTGATCGGCCCCGAGGCTGCAAAGGGTTGGGGCTGAGGGAGGGTTCCCAAGGAACGGGGGGCCTGGAACCTGAGCTTGCCCGGGGTCAGTGGGCCTGCCAAAGCTGTACCTTTGAGAATGAAGCAGCAGCTGTGCTATGTGCTGTTTGTGAGCGACCTCGGCTGGCCCAGCCTCCCAGCTTGGTGGTGGATTCCCAGGATGCTGGGATTTGCCTGCAACCCCTTCAGGTAACCTGTTCCTGGCCTTCCTTGCATGTGTTATCTCAGGCCATTCTCTGCTTTCCCATCCCCATTTTCCTTTAGTTCCCCCAGCTCCATATATTAATATTTTCATCCTAAACCTCAGCCAGCCAGTCAATGGGATAATTCTCTCTGCTTTCCCAGCAAGGGAATACTTTGCTCTCTTCTGCCCAAACTCAAGTCTGGTACTGTATTCATTGTACCTTCTGCAACTCGGGCCCTGGCTGGGTATGTGTTATGTGCAACCGGACCAGCAGCCCCATCCCAGTCCAGCATGCCACCCACTCCCACGCCAGCTCTGTGGAAAAGGGACTCCCCAAGCCTGGGCCCCCAGGATGCCTCAGTGCGCCTCTGCCCAGTTCCTGTGGAGACCCTGAGAGGCAGCGCCAAGACAAGATGCGGGAGGAAGGTCTCCAACTAGTAATCATGATCCGGGTGAGGATTTGACTTGGGATGAGGTGGGGCTGAGCTGGTAGTGGGAAAGGAGATGTTGCAGTCAGTTAAGAATTTTTATAAAACAGGGCGGTGCCTGTGGCTCAAAGGAGTAGGTCGCTGGTTCCATATGCTGGAGGTGGCGGGTTCAAACCCAGCCCCGGCCAAAAACTGCAAAAAAAAAAAAAAAAAGAAAAGAATTCTTATAAAACTTGTCACTGGTAGCAGCAGCTGTCTTTTATGAACACTTCCCACATGACAATTAGCCATTTTATGCACTGGTCATATGGTCCAGCTAGTCTAGTGTTGGCATCTTGGTTCAGGCTGAGGGTGGGTGGAGGGTGCCCCCTTGCTGGCCCTGATGGGTGGGACTGACTGTGCCTTAGGAAGGGGAAGCTGCAGGTGCTTGTCCAGAGGAGGTCTTCTCAGCTCTGCAGTACTCAGGCACTGAGGTGCCCCTGCAGTGGTTGCGTTCAGAGCTTCCCTACGTGCTGGAGATGGTGGCTGAACTGGCTGGACAGCGGGACCCTGGGCTGGGTGCCTTTTCCTGTCAGGAAGCTCGAAAAGCCTGGCTGGATCGTCATGGCAACCTTGATGAAGCTGTGGAAGAGTGTGTTAGGGCCCGGCGTAGGAAGGTATCACCTGTGCTGGAGGTGGGACAGGGTTGAGTGTCAGTTTCTTGCATTCTCCTTTGCTTAAATTTCTCTCTTCATTCCCTCTGTCCACTCCCAACTGCAGGTACAGGAGCTCCAGTCCCTGGGCTTTGGGCCTGAGGAGGGATCTCTCCAGGCATTATTCCAACATGGAGGTGATGTGGCCCGGGCTCTGACAGAGCTACAGCGCCAGCGCTTAGAGCCCTTCCGTCAGCGTCTCTGGGATGGTGGTCCTGAGCCCATCCCCTCCTGGGATGGACCAGATAAGCAGGTGCTGGGAGGAGGCGAGGAACCTAGGAACCCACCTAGAGGAGCAGGAGCTAAGGGGGAGGTCCCTGGGCTCTGACAGCCACTTCTCCCACCTCCACCTGAATCACATTGCAGAGCCTGGTCAGACGGCTTTTGGCAGTCTATGCACTCCCCAGCTGGGGCCGTGCAGAGCTGGCGCTGTCGCTGCTACAGGAGACACCCAGGAACTATGAGTTGGGGGATGTAGTAGAAGCTGTGAAGCACAGCCAGGACCGTGCCTTCCTCCGCCGCTTGCTTGCCCAGGAGTGTGCTGTGTGTGGCTGGACCCTGCCCCACAATCGGGTAAGCCCCTCCCTACTGTATTTTGTCCTAGAATGACCTCATTCCCTTTGGAACCTCACCCCAGTTCCTGTCTCTGCTCCTGTCCTCTGCTCTACAGTTGCCCAAGTACCCCTGAAGTCTTCTGGGAAGGGGAGGGCAGAAACAGGCTACCCTCTATGTTTTTTTATTAATGTTCTATTATGGAAATTTTCAAACATAATATAGTAAGGAGGGCTCCGCGCCTGTGGCTCAAGTGGCTAAGGCGCCAGCCATGTACACCCAAGGTGGCGGGTTCGAATCCAGCCCAGGCTGCCAAACAACAATGACGGCTGCAACCAAAAAATAGCCGGGCTTTGTGGCCGGCACCTGTGGTCCCAGCTACTTGGGAGGCGGAGGCAGAAGACTTGCTTCAGCCCAGGAGTTGGAGGTTGCTGTGAGCTGAGATGCCACAGCACTCTACCCAGGGGGACAGCTTGAGGGTCCTGTCTCAAAAAAAAAAAAAAAATATATATATATATAGTAAGGAGGATTATAGTTCTCTGTGTAACAGATTCCCTTATTGCCCACATCCCCCCGCAACTGCCAATCTATTCATCACCAACCTTCAGCAATAATCAACATAAGGCCAATCTTTATTTCATTTATATACACAGAGGATTATTTGAAGCAAATCTCAGGCATCATAGTTTATCTGTGAATATTGCAGTACATATTTCTAAAAGATAACACTTATTTCAATTTCTTTCTTTTTTTGAGACAGTCTCACTCTTGCCTAGGCTAGAGGGCCATGGTATCAGCTGAGCTCACAGCAATCTCAAACTACTGGGCTCAAGAGATCCCCCTGCCTCAGCCTCCCAAATACTCGGTACTATAGTCACCTACCACAACACCCAGCTGATTTTTCTATTTTTAATAGAGTTGGGATCTTGCTTTTGCTCAAGATCCAATTCCTGAGCTCAAGAGAGCCTACGACCTCAATTTCCAAGAATGCTAGGTTTACAGGCATGAGCCACTGTCCCAGTCATAAAACTCTTTGAAAATGTAGCCTCAGCCATGCCCGTAGCTCAGTGGGTAGGGCACTGGCCACATGTACCAGGGCTGGTGGGTTCGAACCCAACCTCGGCCTGCGAAAAACAAAAAATATCTGGGTGTTGTGGCGAGTGCCTGTAATCCCATCTACTTGGGAGGCTGAGGCAAGAGAATCACTTAAGTCCAAGAGTTTGAGGTTGCTATAAGCTATGACACCACAGCACTCTACTGAGGGCAACAAAGTGAGACTCTGTCTCAATTTAAAAAAGAAAATGTAGCCACAATGCCATTGTCACACCAAAAAATAATTAACAGTAATTCTTCGATACCATCAAATATCCATTTGGTGGGGATAAGCTCCTTGTATCTCCTGAGTGCCAACTTACTCTAGGTCAGAAGTGGCAGTTCTTTGGCTAAATATAGTTTGATTTAGTTAGTTTGGCTTCGTATGTGTCTTATTTTGTTTTGAATAAAAATGATGATTTTTAAATAATTGTAGATTTATGGGAAGTTACACAAATAGTACATAAAGTCTTTGTAAATACTCTTCCCTCACCTTCCTCCAGTGGTGACAGACATAAAATTATAGTATGAAAGCCAAGAATTAAGTCCTGTTAAGGTAGCTCAAGTCTATTATCCTAGCACTCTGGGAGGCTGAGGCAGGTAGATTGCCTGACCTCACTGGTTCAAGACCAATCTGAGCCAGAGTGAAACCTTGTTTCTAAAAATAGCCGGGCATTGTGGCAGGTGCCTGTATTCCCAGCTACTCAGGAGGCTGAGGCAAGAGAATTGCTTGAGCCTAAAAGTTTGAGGCTGGCGAGTGCTATGACGCCACAGCACTCTGCTGAGGGCAACAAAATGAGACTCTGTCTCTAAAAAACAAGAATTAGACATTGTTAAAATGTTAGCTATGCTGCAGATCTTTTTTTTTTTTGAGCTAGAGTCTTACTTTGTCACCCTCAGTAGAGTGCTATGACATCACAGCTCATAGTAAACTCAAACTCTTAGGCTCAAGTGATCCTCTTGTCTCAGCCTCCCTAGTAGCTGGGACTATAGGCATGTACCACCACTACTGGCTAGTTTTTCTATTTTTAGTAGAGATGGGGTCTCACTCTTGCTCAGGCTGGTCTCAAATTCCTGAGCTCAGGCAATCTACCCACCTTGGCCTCCCAAGGTGCTGAGATTATAGACATGAGCCACCACACCCACCTATGCTGCAGAACTTGTTCATTTTTCACATGGATGAATGTGTGTGGTTCTGTTCAATTCTGTCTCACGTATGGATTCATGTAACCCCCACCATAATGAAGATACAGATTGTTTCATCATGACAAAAGAACTCTTGGTGGCACCCATAGCTAAGTGGGTAGGGTGCCGGCCACATACACTGAGTCTGGCAGGTCCAAACCTGTCCCAGGCCAGCTAAATCAACAATGACAACTGCAACAAAAAAATAGCTGGACATTGTGGCAGGTACCTGTAGTCCCAGGGAGTACTTGGGAAGCTGAGGAAAGAGAGTCTCTTAAGCCCAAGAGTTTAAGGTTGTGGTGAGCTATGACACCATGGCAGTCTACCGAGGGTGACACAGACTCTGTCTCAAAAAAGAAAATGCTTTCATGCTACCCTTTTGTGGTTGTATTCTCCTTGCCTCCACTCCCTATCATCTGGCAACCACTAATCTGTTTTCCCTTTCTATAGGTTTGTCATTTCAAATATGCTGTTCATATGTTTTGTATGTTTTTAATTGAATGTGAATGCCTTTAGAGGCATTTTGTGTTTACCTTAGGTCTTGCCATTGCCTACTTTCCTCTACCTGACTGACTGTCTTCAGAAGTTTAGGTTGTCTGCCTGGCACCCTGCTGGCACTTGAGGTTGCTGCCTTTGCCTAGTTGTTAATCAGATCCTGGTTTCTTAGTGGACACTTGGCTACTGCTCCTCCCCTAGGCTGGCAGCTGTGGCTTCTGACTCCCTCCTCTCTTATCCCTTACCTTTTAGATGCAGGCCCTGACTTCCTGTGAGTGCACCATCTGTCCTGACTGCTTCCGCCAGCACTTCACCATCGCCTTGAAGGAGAAGCACATAACAGACATGGTGTGCCCTGCCTGTGGCCGCCCTGACCTCACCGATGACACACAGTTACTCCCCTACTTCTCCACCCTTGACATCCAGGTATTATAGCTCCTAGCACTCAGATGCCCTGGGCTTTGAACAGGAACCTTACCTACTCACTGCCTTTGCACCCTATCCTCAGCTTCGGGAGAGCCTAGAGCCAGATGCCTATGCATTGTTCCATAAGAAGCTGACTGAGGGTGTGCTGATGCGGGACCCCAAGTTCTTGTGGTGTGCGCAGGTAAGTGGCCTGCCCAGAGGAATTGAATATGGAGGAGAGTTAGGCCTCAGATAGCTATAAAGCTATGCTCTTGCATTTACAGTGCTCCTTTGGCTTCATATATGAGCGTGAGCAGCTGGAAGCAACATGTCCCCAGTGTCACCAGACCTTCTGTGTGCGTTGCAAGCGCCAGGTGAGACACATTCATACTTTTGAAAATACCTGATGAGCAGGCAGCACCTGTGGCTCAAAGGAGCAGGGCGCCAGCTCCATATACCGGAGGTGGTGGGTTCAAACCCGGCCCCGGCCAAAAACCCGAAAAAAAAAAAAAAAAAAAAAAAAAAACTTGATGAGCTACTGCAGATACTGTGTTAGACTTATAGGTGTCCTCAAACTATGGCCCATGGGCCACATGCAGCCCACCTAGGTCATTTATCCAGCCCACTGGGTGTTTTTGCCACCACTGCCTATTCTGCTTAGCAGCCGACTCGTCCTGGAGCCTGCAGTCTGGCCCTCCAACGGTCTGAGGGACAGTGAACTGGCCCCCTGTTTAAAAAGTTTGAGGAGCCCTGTTCAAGAGAGCTTGTGTATGAGAGAGCAAAACAGACATGGGCTCTAGTCAGGAAGACAGGTATAGGGACAAAGGGAAGAAGAGAGGGTGAGGGAGGAAGAAAGAGAAAGGAAAAAGGAGGGAGAGAAGAAGGAAAGAAAGAAAGTGTGGGAAGGAGGGAAAAACTAATTGTACACGGGCAGAAGTTCCACAAAGAAAACAAAAATGAATCTGATATAAAGAACAACAGAATAAACTTACTTAGGGTAAAGAGGTCAGATAAGTCTTTTCTAAAATGGTTTAATTTAAGCTCAGGCCTGCAAGTTAAGAAGCCAGTTGTGCAAACTGTGTTTGGGACAGAAAAAACAAAACATGGAAAGGCCAAAGTCAGCAAAAAGCGCCATGTGTCTGGAGCCTAGAGAGCAAGGGTGAAGGTGGCAAGCAGTCAGAGAGGAGCCAGCTGCCACATCAGGGGAGCCCTGAAGGCCAAGTGAGATGAAGCAAGGGGTAATATTACCTCATTTATCTTTAAGAAGTTTAATATGTGATACCAAAAAAATTTAATCTACATTGTGAAACATAATGAAGTAAACACCTGAGACCCCAAACCCAAACCTCAAAACTAGACTGCCCCAAATACTATTCAAGCTACCTACCTACCTAGCTTACGCTTTGGAAGGCCTCTCAGCTGCAGTGGGGAGAATGTGTGGTAGGCGAGCGGGAATGAGAAGCAGAGAGACAAGTAACTAAGGCAAATTCTGAAGATGGCCTGGAGTAAGGTGGTAGCAGAAGGGGCACAGGGTTGAGATGGGCCTAGGTGGTAGAAATAAGACTTGCTGTAATCCCAGGACCCTGGGAGACCAAGGTGGGCAGGTCGCCTAAGCTCATGGATTCCAGATGACCCTGAGCTAGAGTGAGACCTGGTCTCTAAAAATAGCTGGTCATTGTAGTGGGCACCTATAGTCCAAGCTACTCAGGAGAGTAAGGCAGGAGAATCACTTGAGCCCAAGAGTCTGAGTCAAGTATGAGCTGTGGTGTTATGGCACTCCACGAGGGCGACAAAATGAGACTCTATCTCAAAAAAAGAAGACTTGCTAGGGTGGTGCCTGTGGCTCAAAGGAGAAGGTCACCGGCCCCATATGCCAGAGGTGGCAGGTTCAAACCCAACCCTGGCCAAAAACAGCAAAAAAAAAAAAAAAAAAAGACTTGCTAATGAACATGGGGTGGTATAAAGGAATGAAAGGGGAAATGGATAGCCCCTTAGTTTAGGGTCTGAGCAAATGGCAGATGGCAATGACAAACTAGGGAAGGGACCACTGGGTATGGGTAGAGGAGCCAGCAAGAAAGGCCAGGGCCTGGGATGGAGCTTCCCTACTTTCCCTCCGGCAGTGGGAGGAGCAGCACCGAGGTCGGAGCTGTGAGGATTTCCAGAACTGGAAAAGAAACAATGACCCAGAATACCAGGCCCAAGGCCTGGCAATGTATCTTCAGGAAAATGGCATTGGTAAGGCTGCCCCACTTGGTGTGTTTGCTTAGTAGTCTATCTTTACCAGTGGCTCTCTTTATGAGGGCCTTGAGTTGCAGTGGTAGCCCCAGCCCTGACCTCCTGTCCCTTGCAGATTGCCCCAAGTGCAAGTTCTCGTACGCACTGGCCCGAGGAGGCTGCATGCACTTTCACTGCACCCAGTGCCGCCACCAGTTCTGCAGTGGCTGCTACAATGCCTTTTACGCCAAGAATGTGAGCCCAAAGGATGGGGAAGGGCTGGAAGGGCTAGAAGTGTAGGGGCCTACCCTTGTGTTTTGAGGGGCAAAGGCCATTGAGGAGCAGCTTTGGGGAGGAAAAGAGGAGGTTGGTGGGATATAAAGCACCTCTCTCTGTCCCCTCTCCCCCTTTGCTCGCTCCAGACCCTCCAGTGTCTGTCTCCCATCTCCCCCTACCCCTACACTCCTCATGTAGGGGTTCTTGAGAGGCCAGGACCTCAACAGTCTCCAACTTCTCTCTCCCATCTGGGTTTCTGCCAGAAATGTCCAGACCCTAACTGCAGGGTGAAAAAGTCCCTTCATGGCCATCACCCTCGAGACTGCCTCTTCTACCTACGGGACTGGACTGCTCCCCGGCTCCAAAAGCTGCTACAGGTCAGAGGTGGCCAGCCCAGCTGGTTTTTCAGGTTGCCCAGGAGAGGAAGCCTGGGCCTGGGTGGGCAAGAATGGAAAAGGCCATATGCTGGGAAATGCAGCAGGACTAGCATCAAAGGGAACATAATGCCCATCTGTCTGTTCTTCCTCAGGACAATAATGTCATGTTTAATACAGAGCCTCCAGCTGGGGCCCGCGCAGTCCCTGGAGGTGAGTGTTGGGGCAAGCCTTTGAGAGGGGGAGATAGTGTGCTGGACTCCCAGTGTGTAATGAAAGGAGAGCCTTGGGTATGGGATCACTTGGTGTGTACCCTTGGACAAGTTTCTTGACCTCCCTGGGCCTTTCTCTATAAAGTAAGGTAATATGCACCTTGTAGCTGAGCTAGTTTATATTAGACATCATTCAAACACCTAGCACCCATGAAGCCTGTAACTTTTTTCTCCCATTCCCAAACGATAATGATTCATTAATTAGCTGAGTGATATTTAATGAGACCTGCTAGCTGCAGGGCACTGTTTTAGGTTCCACAAGGGCATCAGAAATGTGTTATATATGGGCTCTAACCCACCCATTTCTTACAATCCAGGGTCTGTGACTATACCACCCTGAACGCACCTGATCTCATACTCATGTGATCTCATGAGCTAAGCTAAGGGCCTGGTTAGTACTGTGTTTCCCCAAAAATAAGACACTGTCTTATATTTATTTTTTCTCAAGGAGACACAGTAGGGCTTATTTTCAGGGGATGTCTTATTTTTATTAAGTATAACACAACAGGCTCAGCACCTATGGCTCAAGTGGCTAAGGCGCCAGCCACATATACCTAAGGTGGCGGGTTTGAATCCAGCCCG